TGCCAGACCCTGCACCTATGTGGCACCCAAAACACCACGTGTTATTGTAAGGTCATCTCAGCCTTTATTTCAGGGGAACAAGCTCTATGGAATCAGAAGAAAAACAGAACCGCAGATAAACAAGCCCCCAGGTGAATTTCTCTTCCCCCCTCTCCCACCCCAGGTCTGGGGCAGGAAGAGAAAGGGTGGCCCTGGTCCAGTCATCTAATTCTCAGCTGAGCACTGCACTATGCCATCTTTGGGTATGGATGACAGCGTGGCAACAAGGAAGGATACTCCGTCTCCCATCAGCCAGCAAGTAGAATGAGATCAGCTAATCACAAAATGCCTGTAAAATACGTCAGAGCAGGAAACAAGCTGTCGAGATTCTATGCATTCTGCAGAGATATGGCTGTATCTGCACATTCCACAGCGGGCACAGTAATGCAGGCCCTATCCTTACTGTTTCAATATTACTCATTAAACTAAGTATAACACTAAACAAACAGCTCCATCAGATTTTACGGCGAACACACAGAAGGGCACGTTTACCATGAAAATATATTACTTCAAAGTCAGAGAGAGGCTCCTCTCCTGTAGAAGGACTTTTCCCACACAAACCATTCACTAGAAAAGCAGAATTTCACTGTGATCAAGTTTCAGAGGAACAGCCGTGTTAGTCTGTATTCGCAAAAAGAAAAGGAGTACTTGTGGCACCTTAGAGACTAACCAATTTATTTGAGCATGAGCTTTCGTGAGCCACAGCTCACTTCATCAGATGTTGTTAAAAGGGAAGTCACTTTACCTGCATTCCTGGAAACCATGTCCAGGCCTGGTGCTCATTCCTTATAGTTAAGGCTGCGAGTCTCTCACTGAAGTCACGGATTCTGTGACTTTCCGTGACTTTTGCAGCAGCTGGTGCTGGCTTAGGGGCTGCCTGGCTCGGGTAGCCCCTGGGCCAGCAGCAGCAGTTTGGGTGTGAGTGAGAGGGGGCTCAGGGCTAGGAGTTGGGAGGTATGGGGGGCACTTACCTCGGGGTGGGGGGCTCCCTGGCTCCCACTGGCATGGCCCTGCAGCTCCTAAGCAGAGAGGCATGGGGGTGCCTGCAGGCCCTGCCCCTGCAGCTCCCTTGACTGTGGTTCCCAGCCAACGGGAGCTGTGCAGCCAGCTGGCCCCTCCGCCGCCTAGGAGCTGCAGGGACACAGAGCCCCTGCCAGCCCCACCAACCCTCCCCCCCCCCCCCCCCCAGCACCAGTGGCGGGCCCAGGCCACTGCCCGCCTCCCTCCCCCCAGAACCCACAGGGTCCCGGGGCACCTCCCGCACCAGTCACGGCACCCCCAGACCGTCCCCTGCAGAGCACCCATGGCCCCCCGCCCAAGTTTTAGTTAGGGGTACATAGTAAAAAAAAGTCATGGACAGGTCATGGGCCGTGAATTTTTGTTTACTGCCCGTGACCTGTCCATGATTTTTACTAAAAATACCCGTGACTAAAATGTAGCCTTATAGTGTGTTGACAAACAGGAAAGTGTGCTAAGAGCTACAATAATGATTCAAGATCCACAAGACAACGAGAGGCTTAGAGAATCATAGAATATCAGGGTTGGAAGGGACCCCTGAAGGTCATCTAGTCCAACCCCCTGCTCAAAGCAGGACCAATCCCCAATTAAATCATCCCAGCCAGGGCTTTGTCAAGCCTGACCTTAAAAACATCTAAGGAAGGAGATTCTACCACCTCCCTAGGTAACGCATTCCAGTGTTTCACCACCCTCCTAGTGAAAAAGGTTTTCCTAATATCCAACCTAAACCTCCCCAATGCAACTTGAGACCATTACTCCTTGTCCTGTCCTCTTCTACCACTGAGAATTGTCTAGAACCATCCTCTCTGGAACCACCTCTCAGGTAGTTGAAAGCAGCTATCAAATCCCCCCTCATTCTTCTCTTCTGCAGACTAAACAATCCCAGTTCCCTCAGCCTCTCCTCATAAGTCATGTGTTCCAGACCCCTAATCATTTTTGTTGCCCTTCGCTGGACTCTTTCCAATTTATCCACATCCTTCTTGTAGTGTGGGGCCCAAAACTGGACAGTACTCCAGATGAGGCCTCACCAATGTCGAATAGAGGGGGACGATCACGTCCATCGATCTGCTTGCTATGCCCCTACTTATACATCCCAAAATGCCATTGGCCTTCCTGGCAACAAGGGCACACTGCTGACTCATATCCAGCTTCTCGTCCACTGTCACCCCTAGGTCCTTTTCTGCAGAACTGCTGCCTAGCCATTCGGTCCCTAGTCTGTAGCTGTGCATTGGGTTCTTCTGTCCTAAGTGCAGGACCCTGCACTTATCCTTATTGAACCTCATCAGATTTCTTTTGGCCCAATCCTCCAATTTGTCTAGGTCCCTCTGTATCCTATCCCTGCCCTCCAGCGTATCTACCACTCCTCCCAGTTTAGTATCATCCGCAAATTTGCTGAGAGTGCAATCCACACCATCCTCCAGATCATTTATGAAGTTATTGAACAAAACCGGCCCCAGGACCGACCCCTGGGGCACTCCACTTGACACCGGCTGCCAACTAGACATGGAGCCATTGATCACTACCCGTTGAGCCCGACAATCTAGCCAACTTTCTACCCACCTTTAGTGCATTCATCCAGCCCGTACTTCTTTAACTGGCTGACAAGAATACTGTGGGAGACCGTGTCAAAAGCTTTGCTAAAGTCAAGAAACAATACATCCACTGCTTTCCCTTAATCCACAGAACCAGTAATCTCATCATAGAGAGCTCAAGATCTAAGAAAAGATCAAGAGGCAATTTGATCAGTCTGTAAGTTCCTACAAAGGGAGAAGATATGACATTGGCATGCAAACATGCATGCGCATGGTGCCAAGGAATGCTTACCAGAGGCACCAGTGAACACAATGCAGATCTATGAAGTGTTCAAAGCACAACAGGGACCAGAAGGAGAAGGCGCACACTAGGCATGGAACCAAACTACTGCCAAGAAAGGGACTCTCTTGAAAAAACCTGTCCTCTAAACCAGTGTTTCCCAAACGAGGGATGCCGCTTGTTCAGGGGAAGGCCCTGGTGGGCCGGGCCGGTTTGTTTACCTGCCATGTCCGCAGGTTTGGCCGATCGCAGCTCCCACTGGCCGCCGTTCGCTGCTCCAGGCCAATGGGGGCTGCGGGAAGCGGCGCAGGCCAAGTGACATCTCCTGCTGCTGATTGCTCAGTTCCTCTCCCTGCTCAGGCCTCTCTCCTCGTACACAATGCCACCCTTCTTGCACCAGCCCCCAAGTTAACTCCGGTGGACTCCTATGTAGCTGTGTGGCCTCCAGAAGCAGCAGCTAAGCTGGTTCTTTCTATTTCCTACTGCTTTTACAGACCTCCAGTCCATGAAAAGCCAGGACACCTGAAGCAGCAGCAAGAACCAAGAAAATACAGCTCTCCATAGCCCATGGTGAGGAAGCCACTGGTACACAAGGTGCTGAGATGCACTCTCCCCCTGTAATATACTGCCAAAGCCGAGATCAGAGGTGCTGCGCTCCTTAAATATAAATGAGAAGAAGCTGCTGGTAGGGGCTCAAATTTTGGAACTTGCAGCACCCACAGCCTGGATTTGTTAACCTCCTGGGCACAGCACAAAGCACATTTTCTCCCCTTCCCTGGTAAGGAGGGTGTGAGCTCAGGTGGATCTAGCTACATCCAGTCCTTTGTCAATGTTTTTGAGTGGCACCTAGGAATGGAGCTTAGGCATCTGAAGAAATAAATTGTTCTTCCACAAACTGCAAGTGAAAGTTGACAAAACTGTCTTGTGAGCAACCTCCTCACTGGTAAGTTAGCAGCAGAGACTGAGGTCTGCACTTGTTCAGATACACTGCTAGTTTGTAGTCATCAAAAGCAAAGAGACAAAACTCACTGATAGTTAGACTGTCAAAAGCAGAAACCTCCAAGGTATAGACACCACATACATTCATAGGAACACAGGAATGACCAGTCCAGATCAGTGCTCTGTCCGGCCCTGTACCCCGTCTGAACGTGGCTAGCAGCACACGCTTCAGAGGAAGGTGTAAAAGACCCCCCGGGGGTGGAGGGGGTATAGCTTGATATAGCTTGTCCACAGGGAAAATTTCCAGTATTGGTTAGCTTACGTCAGATATTGTTTAGCTTATGTCACGAAGCAGGAGAGTTTATAGCATTAAAGTTATCTCTGGAGGTTCTCATTATCCATATAAGTACCCAGTCCTTTCCAAATCCTTGTACACTCTTTGTTTCAATACCCTATTGTGGTAGTGAATTCCACAAGCTAGCTATGTATTATGAAATTTATTTCCTGGTATACATTTATTCCCTTTCAATTTCACCAAATATATTTGTTCTTGTATTAGGAAAGGGTAAACTGGAGTGCCTGATTGACCTTCTCTCTTATGCTTTGTTTTATGTCTCTTTCATGACCCCTTTATTCTTCTCCTTTTCAGTCCCAGTCTTGTCATAAGTCTCTCTAGGCCTCATCAATTTTATCACCATCTCTGATGCACCCACCCCATCCCTGAGCCACTAACAAGACCTCATTAACTCAGACAAGAAGCCAAGTTTATGTCGCCTCATTAGAGCCGCAACTGGTAGCGAGCTCAGGGAGGGAAGCGCGGTGCTATAGTACACATTAGACACAGCATGCAGCGCTGGAAAAAAGTTAGGTTCAACCCACCTCGCTATCTGACTCCTCACTTTCTACTCGTTCCTGTGAATGTTCTTAATTCGTTCGGTTTAAAAGGCATCTGAAATGCAGCCTGACTGGGAAAAGTGACTGTAGCACACCCCAAGGGCTGTCTCCCGCTCTGAGGATGTATGTAATGAAACAGAACCCTTCTCAGTCTCCCAAGGGCTGTGCTGGCTTCACAGGAGCAGAAGCCGTTACCACTTCTATTGCCTTCCTACCACACACACAGCAGCTGGGACCAGGAGCCGCATGGAGTCACTTTTCCGAGCAAAGCCACCCTCCAAGCACTCCTGTCAGGTTACCTTTTTGCGGCGAGAGCCCATCTTGCTCATGCAGGACCTCTCCAGGGACAGGTAGCCGCCGATCACCTCGATCTCATTCACAGTGGGGTAGCGCTTTTTAAGCAGTGGCCCAAGATCCAGCTGGGGCGCACCAGGGCTCCCCAAGGTTTTGCCCTTGCTTCTGCTTTCCTCATTGTCTTCCTCTTCCGATTGCTGGGCTTTGCTGGCTCCACTGTCGACCTCCACCCCAGAGCTGGGTGGCTTCCTTTTGGGCACTACGGTGAACGTATTGCCGCCTCTCTGCTGGAAGGCGGAGGAGGCAGGGTGGGGTATGTACAGGGGTATAGCAGAAGTCTCCATTCTCAGGTCTGAGGTAGCTTCTTGGGGCTGCTCTGAGTCCTTCAGTCCTGCAGCTGGGTCCATCTCCTGGGGCAGGCCCCCAGTGTCCAGCTCCACAATATCATCATCAATGTAAGTCACAGGCACCAAGAGCTTTTGAGGGGCCTGTGGGGGGGTTATGGGCTCCCCCTGCTGCTCACGCTGAGGCTTCGAGGGGGACATGGCCCCTGCGGACTCCGTCAGACGCTGCCCCCGGCCGTGGTGGGGCACAAAGAGGAAGGAGTTCCGGGAGTTCAGGCGCAGATTGGCCAGTGCCTGAGCTTGGAGATCATGGGCAGGGATGGTGGCCAGGTCTGGCTTGGGGGCTGGGCAGATCTCAAAGGAGCCCCCGTCCCTGAGGGCAGACGCAGAGAGCGGCTGGAGAGGGGTGGGGGTGGCACTGGATTGGGATGGCTGGATCTCTTCGCTCCTCTCCGGCTTTGGCCTTATGTTGTCTCTGGCAAGGGAAACGCTTGGCGATGGCTCCGGAGGCGCCTTAACGCAGGGGCTCCTGCCCCCTGGGCCGGCACTGTGCTCCACGGGGCCGTTGGTGAGTGGGGCACAGCTGCCTGGACGGAGACCCAGGGGAGTGACAGTGAAGGAGTTGGAGCCGATCTTGTGCAGGAAGCCCGGGACCGGCTGGGGGGCAACAGGGCTGACTGGGGAGCCCGGGGCCTGCCGGTTTGGAGGGCTGGCTGGGAGGACTGGGGCTGGCCGGGGGGCAGCAGGGCTGACCGGGACCGGCCGGGGGGCAACAGGGCTGACTGGGGAGCCGGGGGCCCGCCGGTTTGGAGGGCTGGCTGGGAGGACTGGGACCGGCCTGGGGGCAACAGGGCTGACCGGGGACCCCGGGAGCGGGAGTGGCCGGGGGACGGCGGCGCTGACCGGGGAGCCCGGGACCCGCCGGTTTGGAGGGATGGCCACGGAGACCGGGACCCGCTGTGGGGCTGCGGTGCTGACCGCGGAGCCCGGGAGCGGGGCCGGCCGGGCTGGGGGGCTGACGGGGGAGTTTGGCACCGCAACTAGCGGGCCGGGCTCTGCGTCCCTGCTCCGGCGCCGCCGGCCCCGCGGCCACTGGTCAAACTTCTGCAGCAGGCGGCTGACCCGGCCGGCCTGGCCGGGCTCGGTCGGCTCGTAGACGAAGACCTGGGCGGCGCGGATCTCGGTGAGCGCCGAGCCCTTGCGGGCCAGCAGGTCCCGGAGCGGGTCGCAGCCCCGCGGCGAGGCGGCAGGCAGCGGGTCCCGGGCGCCCTCCCCGGCCGCGAAGCAGGCGGCGTCGGCGTCGGGCTGGGACTCGATGATGAGGATGTTGTCGGCGCGGATGGTGCGGATGCCGGGCACGGCGCTGTACAACTCCAGCAGCTCCTGCAGCGGCCGCCCCGCGCCCCGCCGCCCGCCCCCGGGCAGCCCCTGCCGCAGCCGCCGCCGCTCGCTCTCCAGCCGCATGAAGGGGTTCTCGCGCAGCGGGCCCAGGCTGTCGGCCAGCACCAGCCGCTCCTCCGGGGGCGCCGGGCCCGCCCGGCCCCCGCCGCCCGGCTCCGGCTCCGGCTCCCCGCCCGCGGGCGGCCCCGCCAGCTTGGCCCGCTTCCGCTCCAGGATCTCCCGCTTCCACACGGGCAGCGCCGGCCCGCCCGGCGCGGAGAGCGGCGGCTCCATCATGCCAGCGGCGCGGGGCGCTGGGCAGCACTGCCAGGCCCCGCGCGACCCGCCGGCCGCCTCCCCACCTGCGGCCCCGCCCTCTGCCCGCCCATTGGACAGCGGCGGCGGCCCCGCCCCCTCGCGCCCGAGCGACTCCGCCCATTGGGCAGCACTTCCGGCACGGCGAGGCCGGCCATTGGGCTGCCAGTGGCGGGTGAGAGCGGTCCGGGGGCCGCGCTCACTGTGTGCACGGCAGGGGGCGCTGCCGCCTCCAACCGGGCTGCGCTGCCAGGCGCCTCCGGCGCGGGGCCGGGTGCCCGGAGCGCGGCTCGCCCCGGCAGCGAGAGCCCCGGGGGCGGGGGGCAACGTACGGAAAGGCCCCTTAGCCGGTGCCGGGCTGCTGCGACCCCGCGGGCTGCAGCTGGGAGCCCGCCCTGTAGCCACGGGTCCGCTTTCCTGGCCCGGGCGCTGGTGCTCGCCAGGAAATAGCCTCCAGCGGGGGGCGGTTTTGCTGAGCAGGGAAACGTGAACGAGGTCGGACCCCCCCGGCCAGCGTGTGTCCGATCAGCCGGGGGGCGGAGAGTTCTAGGCTGGCCGCAGCCCGATCGTAGAGGCTGGTATAACGGCAAAAAAATCTGAATTCATAGCTGGGTTCACTCGCTGCGCTATACCGGGGCAGTCGCCCTTTTTTGCCCGCCCAAGATGCCTGGCCGCTCGGAGGGATTCCCGGGGTAGCTGTACTGGAATCGAGAGCTTGTCCGACACGTGCAGGGGCTCTCAGTCGGGGAACGGGTAGCCCTAATGGGACGCAGAGGTCTTTCGGGGGGGTACATCCACCCAGCTAGACGTTTCCCTAGTTTTACAGCAGGCTACATGGCGAAGTCAGTGCGAACTAACACTTCGTACAATGACTTGGATATGCTGCTCTGTGTACTACACGCTGAAAGGTAAGTGCAATGTTTATATTCCAATGGATTTATTTTATACTTCTATGGAAAAATGAGAAAGTCAGCAATTGTGCAGTAATGGTGGGGCTGTGACGCTTCTGTATTTTTATGTCTGATTTTGTAAGCAAGTAGATTTTAAGTGAGGTGAAACTTGGGGGTCCGCAAGACCAATCAGCCTCCTGAGAGGGGAGAGCCGCTGTTCTAGTGTAGACTAGGCTCAGAGTCCTAATGATTCTTATTTACTGGAGAGACCAGATTTCATAAGGAGCTGGGCTGTATTGCTGGGAAAGGTCCGTTGCTTATTTAACAGCCTTCTTTATCTTCTAAGGAAATGGAATGGTTGTTTTGTGGTACAAAGATACATTTCACATGAGAGAAAACTAGACTGTGACAATCATAGCCCCCCAAACACAAACTCAAAGGGCTTGTCTACATTTGAAAATTAATTCAGATTAAGGTAGAGAGTGGATTTAAAGCATAATCGCTATTCTGGATTAACTCCATGTGTAGACAAGCCCTAACGGCCAGCCAGCAGCCTATTTTAAAAGGGAAATTGAGACATTTTCAGTGGCGTTGTGCAGAACAGGAATCAAGCTGAAGTGGACATTGGTAACCAAATGGGTTGACTGTCTCATTAGTGGTGACTCTGCACACAGCCTCTGTACCAGCACCAAAGGACCTGAAGAAGGAACATTTCTCCTTAACTTCAGCCTCCACAGCTCCACTGAAATACTTAGTAGTTGCAACCAAAGGCCCTGATCCTGCAAGTTCCTTGGCCAGGATGGTCCCTTGCACCCCTGGAGTGTAACTTGCAGAGTCAGCTCCTGAAACCTGCTCTTTGCTCTGCTCCTTCACATACTAGCTCTTTTACTGTTGAAAAACCTCCTGCAAGGTTCTGTAAATCCAGATCTGCACCCACCCACTAACATTAGGGGTTAAAAGGAAGCCACCTTGGCTGATGAAGGCTAACTTTTGAGGGCTCATTTCCCTGGACTAAAAGAAGAGAAGAGACAATGGGCAATAAGTACGCAGCATGCTGTGGGAGAAATAAAGTGACTGCTCCATCCAACTGTCATTTAGAAAAAGATTAAGTCTCACATTTTCCACCACAGGTGCCTAGAGTTAGGGGTGAGATTTCCAACAGCACCCCAGAGTGTTGGGAGCACATACCCCATTAGAAGTCTCTGGGACTTTGTGCTCCAAGCTTGCTTAAATGATTCTGGAAATCCACTTCTCTTAAAAATATATATATATATATATATATATATATCTTGAGGGATCTAAATAATTGAACTCTGTACCTTTCACATCAGGCCAATGGGAGGTATCATTCCCATCAAAGGGAGCTGAGGCATGGTTAAGCACTTCCAAGTATCATCCCATTCATTTAGGTGCCTGACTTGGGACATCCCAACTGGAAAATGTTGGCCTCAGTTTATTTTTCTAAGGTTTAAACCCAGAGCAGGCATATAAGAATTAGCTCTGTAGGATCAACACCTCCTGAGCCTGGCCCATCCAAAGTGTACTGCACACCAAGCTTGAAAACCCGACACTCTTCTGTTCGAAAGAAGGTGGAGGGAAACAGGTTCTCAGACACCTTCTCTGGTCTCTGATTGGCCAGCATGATGAGGAACAGGCTGCTCCAACACGTGCCCCCAAGAGGCGCTCTCCTCAGCTTCCAGTCTGTACAGGTGAGAGTGTGAACAGGCCACCAGAGGCCTCACTTCTATGCATGCCATAGCTCCCTGGTGTGTCTCCTGGAGTCAAGCCTGTGATGGCGCAAGCATGTCTCCAGCCGTGGATGCTGTTTACCATAATGGCAGAGAGGAGCACCCTGTGGGACCTGAACAGCAGTGGTGGGGATGAAGGCAAAGTCTTCCTGTGCCCTGGGTCAGCAAAATGCTGCTGGAAATTAACATGTAGGAAAACAGGAAACATTTGACCTTTCATGCATTTTTTATTATTCATGCACCAGAACATACAGCACCAGCCTTTGGCATTCCAGTTGTAGTAAAGGCATTATTATCCTTGACACCAAATTTCTTTGGATAATCAGGAGTTTATGTAATCATTTGGCCATGCAGCAGATAACTCCAGTTATCTGAGCCCTCTTATGTACAATCCATTCTGAAATCTTACCAATACATGAGAGGTTGCAGGGGGAGCTGACAGCATGTGTCTGCATGAAGTTATGAGTGATCTTTGTACTGGTACCTGCTTCAGCACCTGCAGTCTTTAATGAGCCACTCCCAGATATAGCCTGCTGCTTAAACAAGAGCAGTTTCACTTCCTCATACAGGAAAGGTAGAAAAACAGCCCTTTGTTTACTGCAGGAGGCATATGATCCTGTTAGTGAGTCTTGAGCACAGGGACTTTTGCACACCTGCACAGACCAATTATGCTCAGCTGCACAGAAATTTCTTCAAAGCAGGAGGATTTAGTGTTTGTTTTGGATAACATCAGTGTGCTGCTGTACAAAAGATCTGCCTCTCTCCCAAAGAGTTTAGACTCTGAAGGAAACAAAAAGAGAGTTTGGAGATGCAGAAGGGCTAATGATTTGCCACATCCTGACACTACAAAGCTCAAATGATATACAGATATTTTCACTTTCCCAAGTTAACCTGCTACCTGGCTGTTGTTAGGTGGTTAGGTCCTTGTAGGCATTATTGAAGTGGGGGCTAACAAGAGTCTGTATTTGCAGAATGAAAATTAATGTGACCACCATGCATACTCAAACGCACTCACCAGGTAGTGTTTGGTTAGTTCTGATAACAATGCGTGGAAACCTTTCGGACACACTGGAATTCTGCTTTACCAAGATCATCCAGCCATCAAGGTATTAATCCTGTGCACATCCTGTGGTATGGGAACCAAAGCACTACCACCAAGGGGTCCCTCTGAATTCCACACAGCCAAGATCTATTAGCAAAGACTGCCTGGCACCACTGGGCTGAGGACTCAACTGTGTAATAGCAGGGTGCAGAAGCAGGACATGCTCACCGGTGTGACAGCAGAGGGGTACTGACTAACCCCACACAGCCCCTGCTGAGTCAGGGGGCCAGACTGCCTGGCAGTCCAATCCCATACAGCCCCCATCCCTGGGAGGGGACAGGACTGCCTGGGTGTAATGTAATAGGTCATTTTCCATCTCTCCCATGTACCATTCTCAGATACGTTTATCTGGTCCAATGTAGGGCTTTCCATTTAGTTCAGGCCTATGAAACTTTCTCCGTCTAGTTGGAAAATCTCAGCTTGTTTTCCTTGGATACTAAGGCAACATTAGTACTCTTCCTCAGCAGTTCACAGGCATGAAATAAAGATTATGAGATGCTGATGACCTGCATGTTACTGCCTTGAAAAACACTACAGGAATATACACAGCTGCACAGCCTCCTGTCTTAGATGCACCTGGAACCAGTTTAAAAAAAAAAAAAGACTGGAGGGGGAGGAACAGAATAAATACTTTAAAACAAAGAAAATAAGAATTGGAGTTGCAACAAAACTTAAGATCCTGTATCCTTCACTCACCCCATTTGAAAGAGCACAATGGGGGAGAGGCGGGGAAGCAGAACCCCTCCAAAATCAAAGGAAATTAACATAGACCACATTTTTAAAATTTTGGGAACATGCAAACAAAGTTTATATTCCCAAATATGAAGAGTGACGTATCCACAGTTGCACATAGGAACAGTTAGTAAGCCACTGAAAGTTCAGTATCAAACATCAGTTGAGAAGCACCACAACAGCTGAGCAGAACATGATCCATCCTCCAAACAGAAATGGAGTACGCAGAATGAATGACACTAAAAATAATGGTAGAGGGCTATCTCAAATTCCCAGCAAACAGGAAAACAGCCAGTTACTTTATAGTCCACTGACCCTAGGCACTGAAGTAGCTATGAAATGGGGGAAATATTCCCATTGGCTGCAATTATGAGACTCTCAAAGCAGAGTAAGGGATGAACCCACACTTCAAAACATCAGGCTATTTGGCTATTCAGTCTCTTCTGTACTGGGAGTTTCTTATTCTTGTATATTCAACACACTGATCTGCACAGAAAACACCCCTGTCAAACTGCTTCAGTTCTTGTTCTATAAAGACTGGGTTTTTTTCCTGTCTGAGGTCATGAACCCTGCATACATGTTGGAGCACAGGTTTTCACAAACTGATCGTGTGGGACTGGTACACCAACAGCTGCATATGCTTTTCAGCTATCAAGTCTGTGGCAGATTTAACTAACCCAGAGCAGGGGTAGTCAATTATTTTTTGTCAAGGTCCAAATTTCTTGGTCAAGACATAGTCAGCCCTAGAGTTACACACATTCCCAGGCAATGGTTACAAGTACTGGCTTTCTAAAGAAGAGAGCTTATAAATGAGACCACTAAATATCATCTATACATTTTTATTACAAAACAAGTGACATTTTAACATTAACACCAAGGTGTGACATGCACCTTAGATGAATGACACAACATAAATATATGTTTTGGGGGAACACAGGGCCAATATTATGTAATAATTTAATGAAGTACAAAAGCGTCTTCTCACACCTCAGATTTACATGGCCAAAGAGATTTACTACAAAGATGCCAAAAACTAAGCCGCAAAGCTCGATTAACTCTTCGGTTGGGGTGAATACTTCAGTGCTGGGGAAGCAGGTACAAATCCTCAGTGCCCCGGTTCTTCAGTTTACTCTGCAGGCTCGGATCATGAGGAGCTGGAGCAGGATGAAGATGGGGGACATAATGAGTCCATACCAGAGCTCCCTGGTCTGCTCTACTAGTTTCTGACATAAGAGCATTTCAAAGACGAACTTGAGGCTCAGGATGGTGAGGATCCAGAAGAGGCGAAGGACCGCCAGGCGCTTCTCCCCGTCCTGGAAGAGCCGCACGGAGACGATGGTGGTGAAGTACGTGCTCAGGCCGTCGGCAGCGAAGAAGGGGATGAAAACTTTCCACCAGGACAGCTCCGCGCCGCCGTTATCCACCTTCAGCACGAG